TGTGACCTTGGGCAAGTTCATTAACCTCTCTGAGCTGTGGTTTCTTCCCCTATAAAATCAGAATCATCATCGTAAGAAAACTAATTGCATCAACCTAAGAGGGTTACCGAGAACATTAAATAAGACTATAATCAGATAGGGTAGGGGGTCCTCAGAGGAAAAAACCAGGCATGGCTTTCTTGACATAAGAGAAGCCATTATTGGCCTAAGCCATTTTGTGATCTTAACCTGGCACAAGGCTTGCCCTTGAACAGGTCTCAGAAATCAGTGATCTTAAGGGAACAAAAGGACAAACTTACCAGGCATGTGAAGTAACAACAGCAAAGATAACAAGTCAGTTGGAAAGACTCCCAGTTCTGTCTAGTGGTAAACACTAGCCTGCAGCACTGTCCTAAATTGTTCCGCAGAATTTAAATCCCCCTTGGGCGCTCCACCACCAGATCAACTGGAACCTAAGGAATTATGTTGCTGGCCTTTTTTGACCCTCGGGACTTCAAACAACTGAAGCCTGGACTCACTCCCAAGCCCCTCCAGGAACACGCATGTTCCCTTAGCTGAAAAGGTCCCCAGTTTTGTTACTGGGGAGACACTGCTTTGGGAAAGATCCTCAGTGTTCTCACCTTACTTGCTGCAAGTGATAAATCCTTGGCTTGGCTGAGTCTTTTGGCCAGACACCCACCAAGTTTTCGAGTAAGAAGGCGGTAATTGTAAACTACTTAGCACAGTGCTTGACACTAAAGAACACTGTCACCAAAGCCAAAGGGAAGTCCTCAGTGAGCAAGGTCATCGCATCTCCGAACTTCCTCACATTTCTCAGCCTACAGATCCGGCTCCCTCGTGCTGGGCCCGCTGACCTCATTCCTCTTTGTCTCCAGAACCAATGCTGTGCTTTGCATCTGTGGCACCTGCTCACAAAGGTTTGGTGAGTGAACACCGAATGATGAGTGCCTCATGATGGCAGGGGATGGGCAGCCACGTGGTCTGTTCTCAGACAGACTATTACAGAAAGCCACCCACAGGTGAATCTGAAGGAATTTATTCATTTGTTTATTTATTTTAAATTTATCTTAAATTTTATTTTATTCATTTAAAAAATTTTGTTGGGGGGAGGTAACGAGGTTTATTTATTTATTTAACGGAGGTACCGGGGATTGAACCCACAACCTCGTGAACGCTAAGCACGTGCTCTATCACTGAGCTATAACCCCATTTGGAACAGAAGTTCGTAAATGCAGCTCCCACAGGCAGCAGGGTCACCATTTTTACTTGCATGCTCATTTCCTCCCCACTGGAATGAGGCCAGGCAATAACCCAGATTTTCCCCTCTCGGACCTAATCAGCTTGAATTTTAAACTGTCAGTCTTAGAATTTTCTATTTTCTCCAATCTCCCTCTGTAATTTAGGTCTTGATCTTGATTTTAATTACAGACCAGTGCATCAGCTGTCATAGGGATAGACTGAATTCCACACATTTTGAAAAGGCACATGAGATAAAAATTCCTACTTTATGGCAAGACAAGAAAAATTTAAAGATAAAAAATTCTTCTCCGCTCTCGGCCTCCTCTCCCGGCTGACCATGAGGTGTATATCTGCATTCTGCATTGACCAAACCTCCCCCACTGGCAGGAACACCTGCTCAACCATAAAGAGCGACATTCTCCCAGCATCAAGACAACTCCTTAAAGACAACCTTCCTTCTTGAGCTTGTGAGGGGTCACATGACCCACCAGGATGACCCTTAGGCCTGGACGACATAAACTGCCAATACGTCATTTGCGGGGAGGAGGGTATAGCTCAATTGGTAGCCTGCATGTTTAGCATGCATGAGGTCCTCGGTTCAATCCCCAGTACCCCCTCTAAAAATAAATAAACCTAATTACCTCCCCCTCCACCAAAATAAAATAATTAAATAATATAATAAATAAAATGCTTTAAAAAATGTCATTTGATGTACAGCCCTTTGTCTCAAAAAACTTATATAACTGTGCCTTGATTTCCAACAGGGGGAAATAGTTCTCAGAGCTTTCTGAGAAGCTTTTCCTGGGTTATAATCCTGAAATTTGGCTTGAATAAAACTTTCCGTTTCTTTCTTAGATCAACTGATTAATTTTGTGTCAACAGCACAAAACAGTGGATAATCATGACTGCCTACAAGATCTAGAAAGAATGTTATCTTTTTTCTTATGCTCTTTTTTTTTTGTTTACTGGGGGGTTAATTAAGTTGTTTATTTATTTATTTACTTATTTATTTTAAAATTTTTGATGGAGATACTGGGGATTGAACTCAGGACTTTGCACGCACACTACTGCTGAGCTGTCTCCCCAGCGAAGGAATGTTTGTCATCTTGAAGGAGTTGTCTTTTTTTTTTCCCACAGTACTTGTTCATTGCTCATTGATCAAGAGAAACTACTCCTTCACCCAGATATTCATAGTTCACAGTTTCATAGTCCAAGAACGCAGGTAACCAGTGACAACTTCCACAGAACTCAACCCAGAGAAATTCTTTATGTTCCAAGATCACTCAGCACTCTGAAAGATACCAGCCTTCCTCATCGCCTCAAAATCTTTCATGGAATCATAATCTCTGTAGAAATCTGCATATGCCTTCCTTCTTGGTTCAGCCACAGAAAACCTACAGAAAACTGCACCTCCCAGGGATACAATGTGCCAACAATATGAAATCGCAGACACCTGGCCGGAAGGCCTCGCATCTGAGGTTTCCTCAAAGCACAGGAAGTCATGGTGTTCTCCTTGACAGCTCAACAGTGTCCTTCCAGACTGATGGAGAAATGGCCCTGAAGGGCTTGTCTTGATGCTAGAATGCTGCTGTTTATGGTGGAGAAGGTGGTCCTGCCGATGGGCGAGGTTTGGTCCACGCACAATGCAGACACACAAGACACCGCAGGGGGAGAGGCGGCCAAAGACAGAGAAGAATTTTTTGTTTAAATTTTTCTTGTCTTGCCATAAAATAGTTATCTTATTGTACAGTACTTAGAAATTTGGATTCTGTAAACTGTCAATAACGCAGCATTCAATGTACAGCCCTCTGTCTCAAAAAAACTTATGTAACTGTGCTTTGACTTCTAATGGACAGAACAATTCTTAAGAGCTTTTCTTATTTGTTTGTTTTTTTGTCTTTTGGGGGGAGGTAGTTAGGTTTATCTATCTTTTTTTTAATTTACATAATAGAGGTACTGCGGATTGAACCCATGACCTCATGCTTGCCAAGCACGCACTCTACCAACTGAGCCATACCACCCCTTCTGAGAGCATTCTGAGACGCTGTTCCCTGTTTATAATCCTCAGTCTGGCTCAAATAACATTTTCCATTTCCTTCTCAGACCAGCTGATTAATTTTTCATCAACAGGTGTACTGGGACTTACCAAGGGACATGAGGCAAAGGCAAAGCTGTTATTTCCAGCTTTGAGGCGATTAGCAGTCTGAATGCCAAGGAGGTTCTGTTATGGCTGTTATGGGATGAAATGTGTCCCCCAAAAATTTTATATCGAAGTCTTAACCCCAGTACCTCAGAGCGTGACTGGATTTGGAGACAGTCTTTATATCAAGGTAATTAAGTTAAAACGAGGTCATCAGAGTGAGCCCTAAAATGCAGCATGACTGGTGTCTCTACAGGAAGAGGAGATTTGGACACACACACACACACATAGAAGGAAAACCATGTGGAGATGGAGGAGGATTAATAAAATGGCCACACATAGGAGAATCAAAAGCTATAATCATGCTTGGTCTCTGAGAAGCACACAGAACTGTAACCTTACAAAGTAGGCTAAACACCAAGAAGACCACGCCTTGAGTGCTTCTGAGATAAAGTGACAACAGCTGGCCTCTACAGAATTGGTCGCCTGGAGGCATCATGATTCCATTCTAAGTCTTCTGATGAGAAAATGATTCTGTTGATTGTTATCGATGCTTTATTGTCTGAGCTATGGCCATATAACCACCCCACCCCATCCCCAAGGTGGGCTCAGTTTTGAAGGCACTAAGGCTAGTGTAATAAAAGTAAAAAAAGTAATAAAGCGGCCTCTTTTCTTCTTAAGCTCCAAGACCCAGCCTCTGAGTTATCTGGCTCATCAGGGACGGGGTGGGGGCCAATCTTTCCAGAGACACAGGGAGAAGGTGGCCGTCCACAAGTCAAGGACAGAGCCTCAGAAGACACCAACCCTGCTGACAACTTGACCTTGGGCTTTGTATGGGAGCAGAATTTGCCACCTCAAAATATGTCTCTTTGTGGCGCATTGATTATTTTAAGCTGGTTATTTTTTTAAGAAACAGCAAACATGGGAGAAAACTAAAAGCCAAGTAGGAGGTGCCCTTTTGTAAGAAAGGTTTACCTTGATACGGAAAATCTCCATTTGTAAGGGGGTCTCCCTCCAAGTACCAGGAAGAGGAAAGCACCTAAAATCTCTAGAAACTCTCATGAATGGAAAAGGGAAAGGCTGCAATCTGCGTAAGAACCCCCCCCCCCCGTTTCCTGTGCTCTTCCTGGTAACTTCCCTGCCCTCAGCATCCCTTCTCTTTAGCTGAGGATGATACATAAGGGGAGGGCTTCTGCTATTCTGGTGAGTTATACAGTTTTCCTGGGTCTCTCCCATGTACACATGTGATTAAACTTGTTTGATTTTCTCCTGTTCATCTGTCTCATGTCGATGTCATTCTTAGACCAGCCAGAAGAACCCCAAAGGGTAGCAGAAAATGTCTTTCTCCAGGCAACTTGAAGCCTCAGAATTGTGAGAAAATTAACTTCTGTATTTGAGCCACCTGGTCTCTTGTACCTTGTTATGGTGACAGTAGCAAATTCATACAAAGCCCACGTTCAGAGTTTCAGGAAGACCAAAACCAGCCAAGCAAAGGACACAGTAGAGAAGGGAATGGGAGAGGAGGAAAGAAGCTCCCCCAGCTCCCCAAGTCCCACGGGCTAACTCCACTGAGCGTGACTTTCAGAATTAACCAAATGTACTTTTCATTCCGAAGTCTTACCACATTTTCTGGCAACTTGTGTCCAGGGAGATATTTTACATTTTCATGGTCATTATTTATGATGTCTGTCAGTTTTCTCCCATTAACCGTTTCTTCAAAGACCCACATCTTGACCGTGGAGGCAAACTTCTGAAGTTTCTTGACATTGTCACCAATTATTTTTGCAACTGCTGAACCCCTATAAGAGAAACAGTGGGGGGAAAAATGAGACTCACCTAGGGAGAAGAGGCAAAGCCTGAGATCATCATTCAGAAGGCTTGTGTTCTGATTCAAGCACTGAGCTTATAACTCAAGACTGTGATTGTCACATCAGCCACAAGCCATTTGAAACTTAGTTTTCTCCTGGAAATACCACCCCATGGTCAGAAATTTGGTGCAAGGTCAAAAAGCACCACGCCTTGAAACTAGTTAAGCATCAGTCTATCTTGGAAGGGAGTATTCAGGCAGAAGAAAAACCCACCTGAAAGACAGCATAAAAATAATACTTCAAGAGGCAACTAGGGTATATTTCAAATCCATCAAGGAGGTTAAAATGTAGCTACCATAATGTAACATAGTCCTTGTCAAAAATACTGCAAACCATTCCAGTAAACAAAGAATGCTGAAGCCATCAAGTCATCAGCCGCTGCTGCCACCCTCCAGTGAAGACAAGCCTGCAGCCCAGCCATTGCAGCCACTCACAGTGGTGCACCCTGAGGGGACTCAGAATAAAAAGGACAGGATACTGGCCCTAGATAGTTAGGTGCTTTTCAAAGGAATGGTTTCAATGAGCCCAAATATTTGCTCCCTCCCATACAGGGAAAAGCCGTAAATTCTTTAACTTGAGATGCCTGGCTTTCTTTAGGTAACAAGCAATCTTTTATTGTTCCAACTACCTGGTCTTTGTTGTCCTAGCTCCTCCCTACCTTTTTTGAGCAGTCCCTCAGAGCGATCTGAGAGGCTGTCATCCCAGGCTCGAGGCCTCAGAAATGTCCACCAAATAAAACATAACTCTCTACTTTGAGGCTGTGTGTTTATTTCCGTCAACACCACGTTCTGGTTAACTGCCGCAGGCCCCAGGTGCACGCAGAAAGGACAGACAAGACCTGAGTGGATTTCAGAAAAGGAACAGAGCAAAGGCACAGAGCCCAGCTGCATAAGCATTTGGTCCCCCCAGCAGACACCCAGCAGCTCCCTCTTTTTTTTCGCATCTCTATTCACCAAACATATTCTGGTAATGATCAGTCTCCCCCAGGCTTCCCCACTGTGGGGGAGAGAAGACACTAGCTAACACTAGTTAAGGCCAGTCCTGGGACAAGAGGTACGGATGTGAGGCTGGACCCCACGGCAGAGGTGTTCGTGGTCAGCCAGGTCTCACGGATGTGCTGAGTGCACAGTGGGCCACCAGCCCGCTGACTGGGCCAGGGGTGGTACCCGATCCCAGCTGAGCCAATTAACTTCTTTCGTAGGACTTAGGAGAAATACTTTCTTAGACAATCTTCCTGGTATGAGGAGAAAAGAAAGAATGGCAAAGAGCACCTGAAGAATTCATGCGACAGGGCATTCATTATTTTCTCTAAGGATTATTCGGAACACAATTTGTGAGAGGGAGTAAGAGCTGATAACAGAAAAGGGGCGGAGACCAAGTTGATGCAGAGGAACATTCTGGGGACAGTCATCCTTACTCTCCAATAAAGCTGGTATATTGTAACCAACTCTAACTCATTCCTGCACGTAGATCTGAGTGCTTTAACAA